GGCCGCTGCAGTGCAGGGAGCGACTCACACACACACACACACACACACACACACACACACACACACACACACACAGAGGGAGGGAGAGACAGAGCAAACTACTCCCTCTGAGGAAAGCCTCGCCTCAGGCACAGCAAACTGCAGCCCATGAATGAATGAATGAATGAATGTGTATACTGTACATGTTATCATCAGGCATTCATACTACAGTGAGAGCAGCAGTAGCCATTGTAGTAGTAGTAAGGTTACTTTTGAAATGCAATGAGTTGCTCAGTACTAGTTACACAGTTAAAAATGTAATGGGCCTAAGTAATGTAACTATTTGAATTACTTCATCAAAGTAATGCAATTTATTTCATTGGATAACTGACTACTTTTCTATTTTAAAAAAGTTTTAAACTGCGCAATAAAGCTGTAAAATGGATGGAAAGCAACAGAATAAATGTTTTAAATAGAAACTCTATCAAAAAGAAGATATTCAGATGTAACCCATTTATAATCACTTACATTTTGATTATTAACTGTAATTTAATTATTTTTCTCTCAGTAACTGTAACTCATTACAATTTTATTTTGTAATTTAACTACATGCAACGTGTTACTCCCCAAAACTGGTGAAGAAATATAAGTCATACATTCAAACTTTTAGGATCTTAAAGTAAAAATATGAGGTTTACACCATCAGTATATGCATACAGTACTGATTATGCATATTACATCACTGGATTATAATTATTGATACATTAATGTGTGGACTACATGATTTAATGCTGCAGCTGTCACAAATGGGGTCGATTGTAGGGACTTTATATAATGCTGGCATGTGGAGTTGCCCCCAGGGATCAGTGAAGTCATTATCTTAGTCTATAGACTAATATCACGTCACTTGATTATAGTTTGTGTAATCTGAATCTGCAAAGTTACCTTAACTTTCAAATAGTGGAATAACAAGTAAAAAGCCACAAGATTGGGTTATAATAAAAACACATATCAGTCTTTATTGCACTTTTTTGGTACTTAAACAAATCTGCAATCAATCAAATTACGCACAACTAATTCATATGTACTTTTGGGGCCCTTGATCAGTTGCGAGGCCTGGTATTGAACTGGATGTCCATGCTTGCACGACTGAAAGACTATCTGGCTGAATGAGTACATCCTCTGCACAGAAAATATTTTATGTCAAAGACCACTGAATCATGAATTGAATCTTGCACCCTTTACCTTGTTTGACACTCTCATTTGTCCATCTTAATGCCAGGTAGTATTCTGCATGGTGTACAGTTTATATCGGCTCGTGTTACACAGGTCCAAAGGTGACACCTGCTGGTCACTACTTGTCACTGCAGTATATTTGGGTTTACGTATTGCCCCGAGGGTATGGATTTCCACATATTTAGCATTTAGCATATTTTGCCATGTGTGTTTTCTGAAAAAAAAGTTTGCAATTAGTTTTGAAAAGGATCCTTGTTTGATAGTGCTGGAAAGACCTTGTGGTTTCAATCATTTATGTCCAAGAACAGATGACATTAAATCTGTTGTTCAGGCGGAGCCTTTCCTTTGAGGCTCTATGCTGAATTTTGCTTGTGTTATCTTATTTGGTTCATCTACATACCACCAACACCCTATCAGGGTGCTAATCTCCCCTTCAAAACAGGCTGCCGTGACCCGGATTCGAACCGGGGTTGCTGCGGCCACAACGCAGAGTACTAACCACTATACGATCACGGCTGGCCACCGCACCTCATGCTACGATGTGGTTTCACGGACACTGAGGTTTTGTTTTGCGATGATGATGAAATGACTGTTGTGTAGCCTAAAATTTCAATTATTTAAAGATTGCTATAGACACACAATTTAAATTCATGCAGGGTTTGTTTAAACTTTTTCTGAAGTGTTTTTGTCATTTAGCCTCTCTTCATTGATATAAATGGGGTGGACACAATAAAAGAAACCTGTAGTAGTACATCCTCTAAAATGACAGTACAGTTGCATCATTATATTCATGAAAACTTAACATTATAAACTTCATTAAAGGGATAATTCAGATGCTTTGTAGTGGGGTTGTAAGAGATACTTATCCATAGTTAGTATATTACATACAATAGATGACTGTCAGCATGCTCCCAGTTTGGAGAGGCAGGCTGGGGTCCAACACTGAAGCTAAGCAATGTGCTGCTGTGGATGGGTCAGCAACAAAATTTGTTTTAGCCACCTAAAAAACTCTGTATCAGTTTAAGTGTATGCTATATTGATGGTATTTTCACTGCTTTACCTTAATGTCAGACATTGATTTCCAGTGGGAAAAATGATGTCATTATTCTGCTCTCTTTAAAGCCAGACTCCATTGACAAAACTAGTGATTTAATATTGGTGAACACAGGAGCTGCTGGTCTACTACTGCCTCTATCAGTTAGTTAGTTTGTGTTGTTGTGTGACTTTGGCTTTATAAAGGGTTAGTTGGGATTCATCAGAGTCATACAATAACACAAACTAACTAACTGATCAAAGTAGCAGTAGACCAGCAGCTCTCATGTTTAGCGTACTAAAATTACTGTTTTTGTCAATGGAGTCTGGAGGCTTTGACGAGAGCATTGATGGGAACTAAAGCTGTTAATGGCGTTCCCTTCAGTACAGGCTGTCTGAAGGAAAGGTAAAACTGTGAATATACTCTCAATATAGCATACCCTTATATCGATATTGATTTCTTTAGGTGGGACTTTTTTAGGTGGCTGAAATACATTATATTATCGACCCCCATCCGCAGCAGTACATTGCTTAATTTCTGTGTTATACTCCAGCTTGCCTCTCCAAACTGGGAGAGTGCTGACTGACATCTACTGTATGTAATACACTAACTATGGATAAGTACTCCATACAACCCCTCCTCAAAAAATCTGAACTATCCCTTTAAGACATAATTTTGTGTTACACTGTATCAATTTTAGCTGGGTGTACCTAATAAAGTGGCAACTGAGAGTAAGCTCACTGTAGCGTATGCCTTTCAAGGCCAAGATCCAAATGACAACCATGATGTTAGATAATACAGAGGCTGATGTCAGCATCTTAGGAAGATCTGCCGTGACCCGGATTTGAACCGGGGTTGCTGCGGCCACAACGCAGAGTACTAACCACTATACGATCACGGCTGGCCACTTCCTCTGCAGGACCACATTATTACCATAGGCAAAATCAACATGGCATACACAGGAATATGTAATATTGCCAGTTTCTCTTTCTTTATTTATGGGAATCAAAAATTGAAGGGTACGTTTGTTTTGGCACTATAAGTAGGTCTACACTGAGATACTGGGAACTTAGCAGAAATATTGCCTGTGGACGATTTAGATGAAAAACAATATGAACTGGAGTTTTGCATGGCCATTCTCCTCCCTCTCTTTGCAGAAATAGGTAGAAGAAGTAGCCTAGAAGTTAGTAGTAGTAGGCCACTAGCACTAGTGTTGTTAACTGTCTAGCTGATGTGAAATTTAGCTTGTGTAATGTATATTTTTGTATTTATTTTCTTTATGTGAGTACCTTTAAATGTAATTTAATTTATTTCTGATTTCAGCCATGATGCCAAACCATGATTAGGTATTGACAAATTGTTGCTACTCAGTCACTTTTTAAAATATACATTGCTTAAAAATGTAAATGCATTCTGTGTATTGAATGACTCAATGCACATTTTAAGGTTAAACCTTCATATAAACTCTGTCCCTCTGTTGTCTCTCTCTATCTCTCTTTAGGCTGGCAAAAGGACACAGATTAAGACACACAGGCTAATTTAAAAAGGTGTGTTTTATGTTCATTGTCCAGTGCTTATAAATAGACTTTCAGTTCCTGCTGAGCCATTGTGTCATAGTTAACCAATACAGCAGAGGTGCAAACAAAGCAAATGATTAAGTCTTCAACACTTCTTTCACATCTTAATTTCACATAATCCCATGAAGAGAGACCAGGTAGTGGCAGTCAGACAACATAAGCACAACAGACAGATGTCACCATACTATATTTACATCCTGTAACATACCATGCTATACATGTAAAGGCTGGACTCAAATCATGGCATCAAGTGTGCCTTGCCTCTGACTCGTATCACTGTATTGTACCTTAATCTGTATTGAGCCACAGTTTCATAATCCCTGTTTCTAATCTGCAGGTGGATTCACAATTCCTAGAAGTAGGCCGATGTGTGTGTATGTGCCAGTAGTTAGATCTGTATTTATATGACAGGGTATAATTGTTCTGTGTATGTATGCATGTTATTTATGTGTGCCACAGAATAAGTGTGTAGGATCCTGGGGCAGTGATGTGTAAACAGGTGTGGGTGCATTTGGTGTGTGTATCAATTAATTGCACTCTAGATTTGTATGTCTCTGCTTCAGACCAATATTTATTTCAAAACAAGCAAACAAACAGTGAAATAACGTTTGTAAGCATATTTATTGTGAGGAAGCAAAAGCTGAGATCTTGTATAAAGAGAGTGCCATGACTGAGAGTAATTCAACAAAAATAATTATTTTTATTTATTTATTTTTATTTTTATCCTTTGTGTAGTAGTGGAAAGGCATATTAAAGAATTCCATCAAAAAAACACACAATATTCTTCTAAATTATTCTAAAACAACCAAAATATAAATCAGTCATAAAAACTTTTAAACAGAACACATAAAGAGGAAAAGAAGAAGACGAAGAAAAAGAAGAAGAAGAAAAAGAAGCAGAAGAAGAAATTATAACAATATTAAAGTGGGCTGCAATAATTTATTTGGATGTTCAATCAGTAAATGTTTATTTCAAACGCACAGAGAAGGTTTTTAGTGTTGTATTTACAAAAAGCAGTTCACTAAACACACAGTAGATGGCGCCGTGACTCTTCACCCAGCTCCCGGAAGTGTAAAAAAGACAACTTTTATTTTGAAATCTACAGGAAGTTCAAGTGAATATGGCGTTGCGTTGAGTTTGACAGACCCGCGGTAACCCACACAGTGTGTGTGTGTGTGTCAGCAAGTTGAATCACAGCATACTGTAAAAGTCAGAGACAGCATTGAAGTAAGTAATGTAGCGTTGAGACGTTATAATAAGTTTATGATAGCCAGCTGGAGCTAACGTTAGCTTACTTCTCACCAGTGTGACTTAAGCGTCTGTCCAGTGGAAATGACCGAGTGAAACAAGGTGAGTCTTTGATTTTAACGTTGCTGTTTCAAGAATCTTGCTCGACTGGTCTTAACAAGTCAGTTTCATGTCCTTTAACTAACTTTACAGCATTGTCAGCTGTAGTTACAAAACGTTGTGTGTATTATGTGAACATTACCGACGGTTTGTTCTGCTGACAGCTGGGTGAAACTGATCCTGCATGCTAACATGACCCGTTTGCTCTGTTCTAATTGATTTGGGCTGTATAATTACATGGTAAATCTGAGGGATGTGCCTTGGCTCACAACCACATGTTGCTCATTTTTTGGCACTTTTCCACCTGCCCGCCAAATCATAAACATACCCTAGTTTAATATCTGCGACATACAGGTTGTGTCAACATTAATTTTAAAGGTATTTATCTAGTGAACAGTGTTACAAACCGAGGGAGGCAGGTTGATAAGAGACAGATTTACTACAGCATGTTTGTCTTTATTTTGTTTACTGGTTCAGGTCATGAATGATAAGCTCTAGTTTTCTCCCACACCAACCAAAAGCTAGTACATTTTGGTGCCCATTAAAGGGGCATGCCACCCATTTTAAGAGTTCACCCTCCTCCCGTGTCCCAGAAGAGCTCAGTAAATACCTGAGAGCATGCACTGTACTGTTTGTCATTTCACTGGGATGTAAAGTGAGAGGCTACTCTATTTGCAGTGCTTATTGTGCAGCCCTAAGATGCAAGGTGGAGTAGATGAATTCTCCCAGTCTGAAGTTCAAATTCTAGCTTTGGTAGCAGGTCTAGACCGGAAAATGTATTTGTACACAACAGTAATTGCAAAGAAATGCAATGGGTCAACAGAATCAATGACCCGTTTACTGTCTGTTGGACTGTAAATTTGCAATTTAAAACTCCATCTGACTTGATTGGTACAAGTTTGCAAACACTAGCAGGTCTGTCTCAAAGCACAGAAAGCTTTGGAAGCAGACTTCTTCAAAATGTATTTTCGCTTCTATAATATACCTGCTTACCCTGCAGTTGCTTGGTGAAATTGTCGGCTGCATCAAAGCAGCTTCCACTATGAAATATATGAAGCCAAACGTGTTTGTTAAAGCTCCTGGACAGCTTCTGCATGTCTGCATGGAGGCTACGCTCCCCAATCAAGTCACAACTATATTATTGTGAGGTATACTGATGATAAAGTTATTCCACTCAGTAATGTTTTGGTAGTGGAATCTTTGCAAACAATGTGGAATGAAGAAATGAAGCAAAAACAAGCACTGCTTTTGTTCAGAAAAGTGTTGTTTTTGTTTTGTTGTTTTTTTACTCTTTCAGTCTGTCTCAGTCTCACATGCACGACATCTGCTTTTTATTAAGTGTTTATATCACTCTGTGTGTGTGTGTGTGTGTGTGTGTGTGTGTGTGTGTGAAAGAGACTGTCCTGCCACTCCATTTGTGTGAGAAGTTATAAATGTACTATAATGATGGACACTGGTTGAGTTTATGAGAACTGTAATCTTGCACACACTCCTACACGCACTGGGTTTCCAAATTTAGGGGTTTTCAGGGAGTAAATGACTAAAGTTTGTGTGTGTGTGTGTGTGTGTGTGCGTGCGTGTCCGTGACACAGCAGGGTAGTTAGTCAGAGCCCGGAATGGCCTGAAGACAGAGAGAAAGAAAGCAAGCAAGCGTGTCGAAGGTGAAGAGAGACAAGAAAATGGCAAAACAGAGAAGGGGGACAAAACCGGAGAACAATGTGGGATGAAAGAGGAGGTGATAAAGTAGATAAAAGGGGAAAAGTAGGATGATGAGATTAAAGAAGGGTAGAGAGAAGAGAGGGGGAGAGTTGAAAGACATGAAAGAGAATGGCTGAGGAAAAACAGGATAGTTTAACAGAGAACAGTTCCTGGGGTTTTGCCTGTAGCTGCAACTAATGCAAGTCAGATGTGTATTCGTGGCTCTGCCTAACCCAGATAGATAAGTAGGTAGATAGGTGAATTGATCGGCCTTTTTCATGGAAGACATTTTCAATTGTCACAGTAGGAAAAGCACAATATTTAGATATTTAGAATCAATATGTATTGATAAATTGGTACCTTTGACAACACTTACACATACTGTATAGGCTATGCAAACCTCTGTATTGTTGATGCACTGTCCCAACTCTGATTCATTTTAGGTTCCAGATACCTAAAGATACTTAATGGATAATGTTGTAGTTTCATTTTTACTACAAAGAGCACTGTGCTGAGCTCGCACTGATATTTCATACCAGCATATTTTTAGGAAAATATTAACCTTAAATAGGAATCGCCTCACAGCAAGAGGGTTCCTGGTTCGAACCCAGGGAGGGGGAGCCCTTCTGTGCGGAGTTTGCATGTTCTCCCCGTGTCAGCGTGGGTTCTCTCCTGTTACACTAGCTTCCTCCCACAGTCCAAAGACATGCAGGTTACTTGGTGATTCTAAATTGTCCATAGATGTGAATGTGAGCATGAATGGTTGTCTGTCTCTATGTGTCAACCCTGTGATAGTCTGGCGACCTGTCCAGGGTGTAACCTGCCTTTTGCTCAGTGTCAGCTGGGATAGGCTCCAGCCCCTTTGCGACCCCTAACAGGATAAGTGCTTATGGAAAATGAATGAATTAGAGAAACTTAAGTGAGAAAATTAACCTGAAACAATAAAAGATAAGGGGATAAAAAAAGTGGATTTTGAAAAGTGACAAAAGTGACATGCCCCCATTCCCTGTGGTAATTATGCTTTTGCAAATAGGAATACAAATTGGTCAGAGGCTTGGTGTCAGATTAAGAGTGCCTGAAAACCACTTAAAGCAGAAATATCCAAAATAAAGGATAAAGTGAATCTGTTCAAAAGAATTTATTCGGAGCTCAACAGGTGTTGTAGATGAAGGGCACTTGAGCTTATCTGATAGAGCAGTTGTACAACAAGGTAGTGATCAGAATCAATGTGAGTTCTCTCTCAGCAGGATTAAGTGATTCTTCTTAAGGATGGGCTCATGAAGTAGAGTGTTTTCCTCTGTGTTCACTCTCTGGTACAGTTAGTGATACTAACATGGGTTTCCCATCAGTGATTCTGATGACAGAACTGGTTTACTGCACCAGTGACCAAACCCTAACGTCTGTCTGTGTTAGGGTGAGTTAGATGTTTATAGCTATGTCTTTGCATGTGAACGTCTGTGTGTGTCAGCGCACATCTGGAGGAAGTTGCGGGAAAAGAGATTTGGATGCATGTGTGTGCGTGTTTGTGTGTGTGTGAGTAAGAGAAAGTATTGTTATAAGTAAGACCCAAAGATTCTGCTGGTTTTAATTTAGCTGATGCTATATTTTTTTTTACTAATTAGATTACTCAAGCTCCAGTTTTGTCATTTGGAAAACTTGACCTTAGATGATATCAGCATCTGGTTTGGGAATCTTTTGTGAGTCATGGCCATAATGTGAAATCTTTGAACTGTCGCCACAGCTCCTTCTGCTATTGCCGTCACTGATGTTGTCATTTTTACCAGCGGCTCTCTCTAATTATATCTGGTGTGAGTGTTATCTATATCTATATATATCTCTTCTATTACATTGTATGTAATTTTATTAATACATACAGTACAGGCCAAAAGTTTGGACACACCTTCTCATTCAATGCATTTTCTTTATTTTCATGACTATTTACATTGTAGATTCTCACTGAAGGCATCAAAAGTATGAATGAACACATGTGGAGTTATGTACTTAACAAAAAAAGGTGAAATAACTGAAAACATGTTTTATATTCTAGTTTCTTCAAAATAGCCACCCTTTGCTCTGATTACTGCTTTGCACACTCTTGGCATTCTCTCCATGAGCTTCAAGAGGTAGTCACCTGAAATGGTTTCCACTTCACAGGTGTGCCTTATCAGGGTTAATTAGTGGAATTTCTTGCTTTATCAATGGGGTTGGGACCATCAGTTGTGTTGTGCAGAAGTCAGGTTAATACACAGCCGACAGCCCTATTGGGCAACTGTTAAAATTCATATTATGGCAAGAACCAATCAGCTAACTAAAGAAAAACGAGTGGCCATCATTACTTTAAGAAATGAAGGTCAGTCAGTCCGGAAAATTGCAAAAACTTTAAATGTGTCCCCAAGTGGAGTCGCAAAAACCATCAAGCGCTACAACGAAACTGGCACACATGAGGACTGACCCAGGAAAGGAAGACCAAGAATCGCCTCTGCTTCTGAGGATAAGTTCATCCGAGTCACCAGCCTCAGAAATCGCAAGTTAACAGCAGCTCAGATCAGAGACCAGATGAATGCCACACAGAGTTCTAGCAGCAGACCCATCTCTAGAACAACTGTTAAGAGGAGACTGCGCCAATCAGGCCTTCATGGTCAAATAGCTGCTAGGAAACCACTGCTAAGGAGAGGCAACAAGCAGAAGAGATTTGTTTGGGCCAAGAAACACAAGGAATGGACATTAGACCAGTGGAAATCTGTGCTTTGGTCTGATGAGTCCAAATTTGAGATCTTTGGTTCCAACCGCCGTGTCTTTGTGAGACGCAGAAAAGGTGAACGGATGGATTCCACATGCCTGGTTCCCACTGTGAAGCATGGAGGAGGAGGTGTGATGGTGTGGGGGTGTTTTGCTGGTGACACTGTTGGGGATTTATTCAAAACTGAAGGCACACTGAACCAGCATGGCTACCACAGCATCCTGCAGCGACATGCCATCCCATCCGGTTTGCGTTTAGTTGGACGATCATTTATTTTTCAACAGGACAATGACCCCAAACACACCTCCAGGCTGTGTAAGGGCTATTTGACCAAGAAGCAGAGTGATGGAGTTCTGCGGCAGATGACCTGGCCTCCACAGTCACCGGACCTGAACCCAATCGAGATGGTTTGGGGTGAGCTGGACCGCAGAGTGAAGGCAAAGGGGCCAACAAGTGCTAAACACCTCTGGGAACTCCTTCAAGACTGTTGGAAAACCATTTCAGGTGACTACCTCTTGAAGCTCATGGAGAGAATGCCAAGAGTGTGCAAAGCAGTAATCAGAGCAAAGGGTGGCTATTTTGAAGAAACTAGAATATAAAACATGTTTTCAGTTATTTCACCTTTTTTTGTTAAGTACATAACTCCACGTGTTCATTCATAGTTTTGATGCCTTCAGTGAGAATCTACAATGTAAATAGTCATGAAAATAAAGAAAACGCATTGAATGAGAAGGTGTGTCCAAACTTTTGGCCTGTACTGTATATGTATGATTTAGTAAATTATTTGGAAATTCAGTTTAGGATTGCTTTAGAGATAAAATCAAATGTCTGTTTTTTGATATTATATTGAGACACTGTAAGGAAAAAATCTACCTCAGTACAAATGTTAAGAAAATTGTTGATGGTTGACACACCTATGTGATAATGACCTCACCTCATATAAATGCACTTTGTGTGTGTGTGTTTCTGGCAGTGTGTGAGATGGCAGAGCTCCCGTCTGGACTGCTGGAGGCATGTGTGGTGGTTGGAGCCTCCAGCGATAAGCTTCGAGACATAAACCAGGTATATATACACATTCAGAAAAAAAACCATGTGCACACTGTCAAACACATAAGCTACGCAGTATGTAGACATACAGATGTCGACATCTATATCTCAGTTACAGTTGAGACATTTCTGAGGTTTCCAAATCACTGAAATACACTTCCATATTTTAGCTCTTCTGTTATGAGGTTACTATTGAATGGACCTTTTGCACCTGGGCAGTTAATCTCGACAATATGAACAGGTGTACATGGTATCTAACCTTGAAATAGTTAACAGTGTACAATGAATAAAGGTTTATGATTTGACACAAATAAACAATTGAGTTCTAATATAAATCAAACCATCTGTGGCATGCAACAGGTAGGCTCTACCTAGATTTGATTGGTCAGATGCATTAAAAATGCATTAGACATTTTCAATGGCTACAATAGGGGTTAATTCTGAAAAAAGTAAAACAAACAAAACGCATTTTAGAATATTTATTTGCAGTGTTATGTGCGGTCAAGGTTTCTTCCTCTTATATTTATGTATTCGTTCCTCACAGCTTCATATTTGCATGCACTTCAACATTTTATCCTGAAGTAACTGAATTATTAATACAACTTAAAAAAAGACACCAAAATAGATTTTAATTGGGTGCCAATATGTACTCTGACTTCTCAGTTGTCCAACCTATAACCCTAACTATTTCCAAACTGTGTCACAGCTTCATCAGCAGAGTAAGTTAACCGAACCCCCTGTGCTGGAAGCTGAGGTCCTGCAGGTCCATGCCCCACCGTTTGTTTCCAAGGAGACCAACTCCAGCCAGTTGATTGGTCCAGCTTTCAGTCGTGTCCAGAGGAGAAGGAGCTTCATCAAAAAGGTAAGCAAAATAGTTTTGAAGTAAATTTGAGACCGTTTTTGGATAGTCTTTCAAACATCATACACGTGGATAAAGGATTGGGCATTTCAGATCACATTTAGCAACATTTTTGTTTATCACATTCAAAAAGTAGAATCCATATTTGTTGTCTTTCTGTTTGTTTGCAGAAGAGGCGAGATCGTGCTGCAGAGACGTTGTCCAATGGAGAAACAACCAATCGTAGTGAAACACCCTCTGCGACAGAGGACATCAGTGTTCCAAAGGATCTGGACCTCATCGCCTTGCCGCAGCTCTGTTTCCCTGGTATACTGTGTTTCCTCTTCCTTAACATGACCATGTTTTGTTTTGAATAACACTATAACAATAGTGAGACATCTGTTTCTTCTGTAAATACAACAGTCTGTTACCTCAGTAAGGCCAACGGTGACTGTATGATAAGCAACAAGTTCTTACATTTGCCTGGTGTGCTAGACTTACTTCTTCAGTGCAAGACGTGACATGTCGAAACCTTGATCTCTAAAGATATAGCCATGATGTGACTGATCTTGCTGCACTGTGGTTACCATCATGGATCACCATCTTGCCTGAACAAAGTCCCACATCACAATCTTGTGCTACCATCATGAATCACTATCTCGCTAAAAGTCCACAATGTAGATGACACATCAGATCCACCCACTGGTGTGCAGACTTGTCCTGCCTTCCTACCCTCCAGCCATATGTCTTTTAATAAAATGACAAAAATCTGAGTTCCACAGTCGGTATTGCGACTTGGATTTTCATCTGAATGTATCTCCTTTATGACATGAACGCCACATTCAGCTTAACTCTGCTTAAAAGGCGTATCTTGAGACTTCTTTGTTTCCATTGGATAGGTGGTCTTCAGTTAGCGAATGAGCAGAAGGAAGACAGTTATCACTTCCTGGTTTTTACTGACCTGTTTGGGAACCGAACCCATGGAGTTGTCGTGCGGTACTACAGAGCTGTACAGGTGCAAACACACACACACACACACACACACACACACACACACGCGCAAACAGAAAATCATATTGAATCAAATGAAAGCAGGCAGTTGTTTCTCACTGTCTGTCCACTCTGTCGGTTCTATCAGGAAGGTGCTGTCCAGAACGGCCACAGGTGGAACTCATCGAAGGTCCGTCTCTATACACCCTTTGCTGTATGTGTCATCTCCAAGTTCCCCTACTACAACGCTCTAAAAGACTGCTTGTCATGGTAATAATTTCTATCGCACACATAGAGCTGATTGAAAACCTAGTTTTTGGTTAAGGAGATTAGATGACGAGTCAAACCTGTCTCTGCCTCCTCATCTCAGTCTCTCAGTCCAATTGCGGCCTTCAAGACAAGCTGACTTTGAGGAGACAATAAAGGAATTCTCAGCCAAGCTGTCCCTGGTCCCTTTACCACCTCCTGGACAGCTACATGTGGTGAGAAAACACTTCTTCCCCCTCTCTGTCTCAGTTGAGACATCTCACTGTTTGTCTCTCACCCTCTATCTTTACTTCTCTCTGTGTGAGACCAGTTTCAGTTGCTAGATGTTGATAGTAAAATGTGTGTGTGTCTCTGTGTGTTAGTCCTTCAGCCTGCGTCCTCTTCATGTGGTTCTTTCATCAAGGGAGGATCAAGACAGCCCTGTTATTGACATCGACCTGCATCTTCCTTTCCTCTGTTTCACACACACAATGCTGCTCCAGGTAATGTAGAACACAGAAACTGGTATTGCATGGCATATAAGCACAAGAAAAAGTTATAATGTGATGTTAAACTTATTTATGTAATTCATATGAAGGTATTTTTATTGCGTTTATGGGTGCTGTTTAGATGTACAAGAGGCAAAGGGAGGTCCTTCTTTTTATAAACTACATACTAAATATTTAAAATGATGTCCATCTCTCTCTAGGTGCTGTCCTGCCTCCTCCAAGAGCAGAGGCTGGTATTCTTCTCTGCTGATTATGCCAGACTCACTCTGGTCGCAGAGAGTTTGCTTCTGTACCTGCAGGTCAGTGGAGATGGAACATTGTGTCTTATATTTGCAGGAATTTTTTTTTCTTTTTGCTCAGAAAGGATATGCTGAAACTTCCTGCAGCATCCACTTTGTCGTCTTTTAATCTGTCTTCTGTTCCTCTGACATCTGTTTCAGCCTCTGTCCTGGCAGCAGCCCTATGTTCCTGTCTTGTCCCGAGGAATGCTGGACTTCCTCATGGCTCCTACTGCCTTCCTGATGGGCTGTCACATCAGTCATTTTGAAGAAGTCGCTGCAGTGAGTACAACAATTCTCTGTCTACAGACTTTCTTACCAGCATCAAGGCCTGGCTACCATCTTGGCTTTTTGTTTTGGGTCAAGTTATGTCGGCAAATCTGACCTTTCTTGCCACAAAATGATGGGAGCAGTGTTTTAGGATTTTGGCTTTAGTTGGTATAAAGTGAATATCCATCCTGTAATGTCTCCCTTTACTAGAAAAGACATGTAATTATTGTTGGAGAGCTATGATCATTTTACAAGTAATAGTCAGAATCAGTGGAAATAATATGTAAATACAAGGAGTGTAAGAAAGTGTCAGTCTTTAATTAATAGTTTACAGGCTTAGATCAGTGGCGGTGGTTCATTTTGTGTTGTGTTTAAACCCTGACCGCTTGATCCTTCAGTGTTGTAAACTATCTTCAGCCATTTGACTCTTCCACTTCAACATAACAAGATATTGCAAGTGCAAACACAAAGAACACAGGACAATGCAACAGCCAGAGTCATAAAGTGTGCACTGTTAATACTGACAGTATTCCTAATAGTTGCAATATATTGCATTGCCTACAGCATGGCAATATATGGAAGTGTAACCCCTATTACTACAATTTTGACCTATCACCTTTTTACCATTTCCCAAAGAGTGCAAGGCTCTTGGCTGTCTAGTTAATATCAGAGCTGTCATTAAAGGTATACTGCGCAAAATTGTTGGTTACTGTTTGCAAACATGCTCGCCTGCAAAAGTGAAAGTAAAAGCCTTGCAATATTTGTATTTTCCCAGTGCTCTGTCTTTTGGTTGCCTGCTGTTTACAGTCATCTGGTCGCTACCTTTTTATAAAGCCCTGACCTCACCTGAGCGTTGTGGGGGAACACACCTATAAACGTCCCGAACACAGAAAATAAGAAAATACAGGCAGAGGGCAGAGTGTCTGCAGAAAAATACACTGCCTAACACTTCTAGTGGGTCATAAGTGATGATTGAGAGGGATTTTTTTTAAGGAAAATCCTGCATAGTATACCTTTAAGTATTGTTTAAATTGCTACTGCGTAATTCAAATGACCAGTCTTTTTGTAGCAGTCTTGTTAGAGCTCACATTCTCCACAGCAATCATCTTTATTCAGTGTCTTACAGTAGCTTAGTTCATATATTTAACAGTGGCTGTCTGTTAGTCTGACAGAACAGGGCACAGTCTGATTGTGTTAAATGAATGAATTGTACTCTTTGTTCCTACGATACATGCGTGTGTGTGTATGTTTATGTTTGTGTATAGGAGACAGAGGAATTAATTCTGGTGAATGTTGATGACGGCATCATTCAGTCATCATGGTCTGAAACCACTGACCTACCAGCTATTCCCCTGGCTGCAGCTGAGAGCTTTATGTCAAGGTAGCACACACACACACACACACACACACACACACTGTAAAAGTAAACTGCTGGTTGTAAATTCTCTCTACTCATGGGCAGAAACACTATGTTCAACAGTGTAGCACCACTTTATGGTGCAGAATTTAGGTTTACTAGAAATCATTTTGACACTGGACGCGACAGTAGACTGTAGGCAGATTTGGAACTAAAATTAAATCTCTAGCCTAAATACCTGCCAAATCAAATTACAAAAGGAACACAAGTTAAACAGCTGAATTAAATAGTCCTATAAGGTCTTTCTGAACCGTTTGAGGCTCACATACTTGTGTGTGTCTAGGGCCGAGTGTCTCCAGCTTCACTATGACTTGGAGCTGTGTCACCTTGGAGCAGGCACTGATGCCAACACCCTGCGATGCCAACGCAGAGACTGGCAGACACGCCTCAACACACAGATACAAAACATTGCTCTGGAGCTAGTGGTCAACATCTTCAGGTATCACTGTGTGTGTGCGGTTCTTTTAGACTAATCTTTCCTCTCTGTTTCTGCATGTTTTAACTGTTCTTCTGTCCATCTCTCATTTTTCATCACTTTGTCAGAGGCGTGCAGGACTTTCTAAACCATGAACACAGAGTTTTTAACAGTGAGGAGTTTCTAAGGACCAGGGAGCCAGCAGACCAGCCCTTCTACAAAAAGGTACACTCACAGATTTAAAAACACAGACACACACACTAGCACACACACAAACACACACACACACACACACCAACTCTGACAACCTGTGCTGCATGCTTCTCTTTGTTGTTGTCCCCAGGTATTAGAAACGCATATCTTTCACTCATTCCTGCGAGACAGGCTGAACAGGAAACGGGACACCTTCAGCCGCATGGAGCAGAACACACGTAACCATGCACACAGGTATGATGCTGGCATGATGTCATGACTGAGGGACAGAAACCAGGCAACAATGAGGGGAGAAAGTTGAGAGCTTAGCAGAAAAATAGTGCTTGTTGCAACGTTAAAACAAGTACATTTTGAAATTTATGTCAATTCCTTTTTTTTTAGGTTACACATGTAAAAATGCTGACATCACATGAGACACAGTCATGTAAAGTAGTTGTAGTTCACAGCACAGCCCCCATGTGTGAAAATTACATTGACTTTACATTGTATTTCAATATTGATTATGCAATGTTGGCAAAGTTGATAATTAAACCTCGTTGTCTTTCCCCAGGAATCGTGCGATGACCGAGTCTCCTCGGCGTCCTCTCATGTCCGATCTGTCCAGGTCTGGCTACAGCAGCTACGCCAGCCCTAACGACAGACTGAGCAAGAGGCTGGGAGCAAGCCTGCCTAACCTGGAGCATTCTGCCAATGACACTGTGACTGCCATCGGCTCCAACAGACCAGCCTCCCTCAGGAAGATTACGCCTGATGTTGGTGAGTGCTGATGAAGGAAATGGGTTAATGGAAAGTGGAAGTCAATAAAAAGTCAAACTATTTGTTATTTCCTTTGTCACCCACCAGGGTTGAGGTTTCCTCAGAAAGCGGTGAAGGTTTTCCGCCTCCCAGAGTTCCCCCCTCCGCTGGCCTATCATTACGTCAAGAACTATTATTCTGACATGGTTGCTTCCTTGGGGAAGGCTATTAACGGTACACTGCCTGAGGAGTCTGCACTGTTGGCCAGGTACTTTGAGTTTTGATATCTGAATGATTTTTATTTATTTATTTATTTTTTTCAAAAAAGAAATGCTGATACAGTGTATTAGTACTTCAGGAACAGTATTTGCGTGTGACTCGTTCAGATTTATTTTAACAGTTTGTAATTCCTGAACCATAAAGTGTTGTATCCCATGAGTTGTGACATTTTTAAAGCATTCACACTGCGGTGAGTGATAGTGTCATTTTGTGTGAATAATTCAGGGAAAATAGAAATCAGTTTGACAATTGCAAGTTTTACTGAAGTAAAATTACACTAATATATTGGAATAAATCATTGACCAAGATAAAAATGGTGGTGGCTGTGGCAAGGCAGTTAGATCCACCAATTGAATGATGGGTAGTCGATCCCTGGCTCCTCCACTCTGCATGTTGAAGTATCCTTGGGCAAGATACTGAACCTGAATTGCTCCTGATGCCTATGTCATCATTGTGCAACTGCATGTGAAGTTCAAACTGAGTTGTAGGTGACATCTTGTATGTTAGCCTCGGCCACCATGAATGTGACTTTTAGTGGTCAGAGGACTAAAAAGGCGCTATACATGTTCAGTCCATTTATCATTTAGCAAAACACACACATGGTTCTTAACATGGAGGTGGCTGAGGCGGCGGCTAGCAGCTAATGGCAACTGTGCAGACAAAGCAAACTTTGCAAACAGTGGGGGGGAAACTTAGGGCAAGCACTCCCAGTATCAGTGGTAACCACTGTGTAAGTGCAACGCAGAGCCGCTGCAGTGAACTAGCCCTTGGGGTACACATATGTACGAATATGTCAGTATAGCCGGACTGCCTTACCACAACAAAGCACAGAGAAGCTCGGATTACAACACACAGAGGTAGCATGCCTTCATTCTCTGCTCAGGACGCCATTACTCCACTATAACTTTACATAGCAAAAAGTTGTTTGCTGCTATAGTAATGTTCTGAATGTCATCTGACTTCTAGACAGATTAATAACCCTCATCAGACATCTAAACCAGTCTGTCTGTCTGTCTTTCTAGGTACCACTACCTGCGGGGTTTGGTAAACACTGTGTCCAACAGGCGTCTGGATGCACTGGAGGACTTCCAGAGTCTTTATAAGACCGACTCGGATATTTTCCCATCTCAGATGGTTAAGTCACTGGTTGACTCTCTGCCAGAAGCTGAACGGTTACAGGTCAGTCCATCATGATTTTAAACACTGTGATGTACTGTGCTAGTTTTAAATACTGTTATCTGGATTCACCTCAGTTAACTGCATCAAGTGCACCTGATTTATACAAGTTGGTCACATTGAGTAAAAGCAGTCATATTTTTGTTGAGGTGTATAACACATTAAAAAATCATTTGGCAAAGAAACACCAGCTCAAGAAGAAGTAATTATAACCCTATTGATTAGCACTGTGATAACAACTGACAGAATCTCTCCACAGGCGGACGGACGACCAGAACTGAAGCGGCTCATCAGTCGGGTCAAGAGGGACCAGGAGCGGGAACGTGCACGCAACGGCAACGGGCATGAGGAAGGTGCCGTGAAGCGTTTCCAGCTGCCGAAAAAATACATGCAGCTGGAGGAGTTTGTGAAATGTATCCAGGAGTCTGGCATCGTAAAAGACCAAGGAACCATACATAGACTCTTTGACGCTCTCACTGTGGGTAAGTAGTGCAGTGTGCTGCAGATGCATATGTGTGTGTGTTTATACAGTAAAACCATATTATGTTATGTAAATGCACATTTGTGAGAGCAGCTCAGGCTTTTCCCATTTTTTCTGGTCAAACAGGCTGTCCTGAAAAACTTTTCTCAACTCCAAGGCGTCTTAAACTGCCTCAGCAAGCACACACACACACACACACACACACACCTCTCCTTCTCCCTTTTTCCAGGCAAACATTTATTCCCCGGGTTAATCATTACCTCACCACTTCTTGAAGAAGGAGAGTTTGTCATGCAGGGCTGTTTGGTGTTGTGGGTGTAACCAGGGCTCCAGTGGTCATTTACTGGCATTTAGGTGGTGGCTAATGGTAATTTAAAAGTTAAAGTCAACTCAACTCAAAAATGTGTTTTTCTTAGGTTTACATTCCCTAAAATGTGTTTTTAAAGATTATGTTTTTGGGCAGTTTTTTGCCTTTAATGACAGTACAGCTGAAGATAGATAGGGATTGAGGGAGAGAGAGAGAGGGGGGATGACATGCAGCAAAGGCCGCAGGAAGGAATCTAACCTACGCCTCAGCAAATGGCTCAGCCTATACGGGGCGCGCACTCTACCAGGTGAGCTAGAGGTCACCCCACATCCCCTAAAATATCTATAAATAACAATGTCTTCTTGTATTTGTGCAAAGTTTGTCACTGGAAAGGTGTTTTCACATTCCTCTACTGAAAATCTGAGATTGAAACATATGCTGGGTAAGATAGATCATTAGTAACTTAACTAATACGAAAGCCAATCAATGTCTTATACGACAGATATCGATGACAAATATCAGTGGGGGGGGGGGGGCAGACTTTTGACACCTGAAATCAGTACTGAGAGCAGAGTGGGCTAGTCAGTACAGAGAGCAGAATTAGCATTAGCATAGTGAAAGTTTTGACAGCAAACAGGATAGTGTGTGTGCAGTTTTTGGATGTAAACCAGACTCTGGAGCTTCCTTCCGCATCATAGCTGATATTATTGTATGTTTCACAATCACTAACGCTGTGTCAGCCACTGCCACTTACAAGCTAACAAGCTAACAGACTGCATAAACAAATAAAAGATGCAAACCACACTAATGATTCTGATGCATCTGCTAGGTGCTGATTGTGGTGCACAACTGGTCTTGATCTAACTGAGGCTTGAACATGCATGGCTAAATCTCTGTGATGTTTTCTCTAATACTAACGCTAGCCATCTGAAGGTGCACTGCTCAAACATTATGAGCAGCCAGTAGCAAGTAATGCCAGCCAACGTGAGAGCCACAGTGACCTGACAACATTCCTGTGATCCCAGATTTGTCAAAGGCACGTAAACAAGATTGACGAGATATTTGAGTCATAAGAAAGCTCTGAACTGAGTAAGGAGGGATATTTGTTTTTAGCCTAAGAAGGGGGAGGAAGGGAATTTGGAGAGGGGGAGATGAGGTACTTTCTCAAAAGTGGAGGTTTCAGCCAAAATCGCATGATGGAAAACGTTCTTCAGGAAAAAAGAAGTGCAAGCTTATCTTGCCTTCAGCATTATGTTATTGGAAAAAGCGAATGAACATCCTGAGGTTTAATAAGCAAACGTTAAGTTTTTCTTTCCTTTTCTCCTCTTAATCAGAGGTCATCAGAGATTTTGGACAATATGAAGTCATTGTCCTGTTGTGCTTTTCTGAAGTAATAGTGAAAACTAAACTTTACGATTGCTCAGCAGCCATTGACAGAGGACTGTGTATGCATGGGAGGTTGGTGCAAGGGGCAGAGCACAGACTGTGGACTGTATGTAGTCATTATGTACAGTAATGACGACAACCCCCAACTGATCGCTCTGCAGGCGTGCTGGCAGAATAGGAAAAAGAGCTGCTGCCAGATTCTTGCATGTTTGTGTGTGTGAGAAAGTATGAAGCTGAGCATTTCTATAAATGTTGCTCAGTCAACCATTTCAGGGTAAATGAAGATCAAAATATAGTTTGTAAACTCAGTGAAAGTGTGTTTGCTTGTTTTCTTGCAGGTCATCAGAAGCAGGTTGGTCCAGAGTTGTTCAGAGTTTTCTACACCATCTGGAAGGAGACTGAGGCCGAGGCACAGGAGGTCTGTGTATATAGGTTTTGCTTGTATTATACAGCTTAAGCCCCTTTCCCACTACACAGAAAACTCTAACATCTGGCCTTTGTATTTAATGGGAAAGGTTACAATAATCTTTAACTCCTGGGTCAAATGACTGCAGTACTCACGGGTATTTATCAGATCCGATCTGCTTCAGTCGGCAGTGAGGGACTTACGATACCCAGGTGGATGTTTAAAATGTAGTCAGCACCGACTTTGAGAGACTAAATCAGTAAGAGATATAAAAAAGAAGAAACCACCGTAACATTTTCTCTGACCTACATGCTGCTTTCTACTGTTTACTAACCTGTTGTCCAGTCTGTCCATGCACAGCTCTGGTCTACAGGCAATGGGAAAGAAGTCTATGGCCTATTTTTTTAACATGTTTTCCCACATTCAAAAAGCTAATTTTGGTGGAAAATGGTATTTAAGCCCCAAATTTTGAATATACTCTAAGTTGTAATGTGGTCATGTGACATATAGGTGGAAAATCAGTAATTTTGTGCTGTCAGCTGATCATAATTCAAACTATAAGCTTATTTTACCTCTGCTTACAGGCAACGACATCAGGAAACGTTCATTTTGTTGTTGAGCAGTAGAGCTTGTATTAGTTTAGTTTAATTATAATTAAACTAATTATAAGTTTGTGAGAAAGAAAGATTGAGTTGCAGTGTGATGGTAATCCACAGCTGAGGTCTCCTGTATCTGATAGAGAACCCAGTGTCTTTCGGTGATGCAAATGATTCACATGTCAAGGGTTGCCTTAAAAACATCTGATAAATGTTATAAAGAAAGGATCTTAAAAAGATTGGTAGAGAAAGTGGCAATATCATTTGAGTTGCCAGTTGTAATTAAAGGTCAGCAATGAACAAAACTATTTAACTGATATGATCAGGTTTTGTTTGTTTTTTTAACTACAAATTGAATGAATGATTCTTCAAAGTCAAATTTTCATCAAGTAAAACACCAAAGAGTTTAAAGATACAGTGATTTCTGATAAACTGAATGAATTATTTTAAATTATAATAACTTTTAAGGGTGTTAAATGCATTTTCTGGTGCAATTTTATAAATAGTTTTAATGTAGTAATGTATTAATGTATTATTTTAACGTCCCTTAACATCGAAGTCAATAAAATGAAACCTATTTTGTTGAAAAGGTTTTCCCTGACCAGTTGACACACTTATATGTGATTTACAGGTGTGCTTGCCAGCATCCGTCTTGGAGCACATTGAGCCCAGCGAGTGCGTCTTCAAGCTGTCCTCCTCTGTCAAGACAAGCCGCGGCGTGGGGAAGATCGCCATGACTCAGCGACGGCTCTTTCTGCTGACTGATGGACGACCAGGTTACGTGGAGGTGGCACAGTATCGAGATTTAGAGGTATGGTTTTCTAAAAATGAAACTAAAGTGAAGAGAAGAAAGGTTCTGAGGGGAGTTCAAAAAAGCGCTTCAGTCAGAACTAGGAGCCTGAAAAATGTGCTGTCAAAGCACCATAGTCAATCTAAGTATGTTGATCCTGCGGAGCAACCTACATCCTATCTTCCTCTCTTTTCCTGCAGGAGGTGAAAGTGTCCTCGGCTCCCTTCCTGCTTCTGCGAATCCCCAGCCTGAAGCTGCGTGTTCGGGGCAGGAAGGAGGCATTTGAGGCCAATTTGAAAACAGAGACCGAGCTGTGGAACCTGATGGTCAAAGAAATGTGGGCCGGGCGCAACATGGCTGACCAACACAAGGTAAAGCTGTAACTGTAGGGTGTAGGTGTGAGCCAGTATGAGGGTGTATTGTATGTGTGGGGGAGAGATATTGTACGTGTGGGGGAATCAGACATTTTCATTTCTCTTTTTCTGTGTGTGTGTGTGTGTGTGTGTGCATGCCTGCACATACCAGTCATTTTGAACTTCAGTGACCTTTGCTAGGTGTGGCTGAAATTCCCTGAGGCGTACACGAACACACACTTCAACAAAGACAGAGGGTTTCCTTTGTGAAACCAGATGATGTAACTGTGACATCTCTGTCTCTCACCTCTACTGTCTTTTCTCATGATAATACAGTGGAAACCACTTACAGTGATCGCAGGGTTCCCGGACATGAAATTCCTGTAAAAGTTATTTAATTAGAAAAACTGTTTTCCAGGCCGGTAAATTGAGAGGATATTTTGGAAAATATTTGAGTTTACATCATTTTGACTATTGTTTGATATATGTTCATAAAAATTATTTTCATTGTCCACTAATCTGTCGATTATTTCTTCGATAAGTTGACTAATTATTTTATTGGATACACTTGCTCTTTAAATAACTCACATTTAGTAATCAAGTAATCTATTTACAGTGTTCATTGTGGGTCTTTTCAGACATGACAACTTACAGAAAAAGAATTTAAAAGTAGGGTGATTCTGTGTTTTTGTTTTTTTTTTACTCTGCACCCGTGATACTTTGCTTCATAGTAATCCTTGTGCTTCCAGCTGACAATCTGAGGCTGGTGCTGGTGTAGTCTAATCAAATGAAAAACAGTCATGGCTGCTGGTGATGGGGACAAAATGAGTGTGCACGGGGAAAGCATCTGTGGTTGGAGCCACTCTCGTTAAGTGGATTAATAATGAAACAGTTGTGCACTTACTGTATTTTGAAACACTAAATAGATTACATTAAATTGCAAAGCTGTTGCTTTATATTGCTGTAATAAATATACAAATGTCAACTGGATGGTAATCTGCATGAAAGACAAAGAAAATTTTTTTTTGAATATAATATCATCCATGTACAGTGATCATTAAAAGAGGTTTCTACTGTAGCATGCTCTTATCAAAGCCTGTTTACATTTATAATTGAATCGGTACCACTGTTACTCCCTAAAATCTATTTTTCTAGACTTGCTTTAACATCAGTTCTTTAAAGTGGCCATCTTTGTTATGTTTTTTAAAAATATACCTTTATATTTGTGAACTTTTAGTATCAGAGGGCACATCTGTTTGACTTTAAATGCATCTAGAAATTCATTTTGACGCCTTTTTGGAATTTGAATAATGTCTCTTTGTCTCCAGGACCCACAGTACATGCAGCAGGCTCTGACTAACGCCTTGTTAATGGATGCAGTAGTTGGCAGCCTTCAGAGCAGTAAAGCCATCTACGCTGCCTCGAAGCTGGCTCACTTTGACCGCATCAGGATGGAAGGTTGGTGATGATTATTGTCGTAGATTTATTCTTGTTTGCTTTACTTTTATCATGTAGAGACTTGTTTTTGGTTGCAGTTTGCATGTTAAAGCCCCTCAGTTAAGACTGGTTTGAGATCATTTGGAAACTTAACTTGTTCCTTAGTACATAATGACTCATCAGAGGCTGCATAGAGATTTTCATTGCCGTTTTGGAGGGTTTTAAGTGCGTGTTTGTGCATTCGCCACCTGTGAAAGGCGAGTTACCTCTCGTTAACAGTGGTTTGTGTGTCTCTAGTGCCGATGATGGTCCCCAAGACAACCGCAGAGACACTGAAGCACAAAATCAACCCCTCACTGGAGCTCGCCGCACCTCAGGCTGTAGATGTACTTCTATACACACCAGGTACCAACTGTAACCAAGCAATCCTTTCAGTTCACTCATTATCGCCACAATGACAACTGTCAGGTTTCTCTGTCTCTCTCAGAGGAGTTTCACAATCACTGACATACACACTGACTGGCAAACATACACACATGACCTTTGCTTTGTCATCCCTTCTACAGTTTCGTCATAAAGCTGCCCATAAAGTTTCTCAACAGCACTTCCTCCTCTGGTCTTCTTTACAGGAACACTAGAAAAGGAAGTCAGACAAACTTTAAAGAATGTATAGGGAGGGAAGCTTCTCCTCAAGGTAAAATTGTCTTAAATACACAAGTCAGCCTTTTAGCTGTGTGGAGCTGTGCCTGACTCAGAATTATGTCTGTTAAATCAGATTTGGCTGTTTAATATGGATATTTGGCTGCTTGTTCGTCTTTTCCCATACACAGTTTGAGTTTGAATCGGTTTTGGTGTGATATTTAAGGTGACAGCGATGTTCAAGTAATCTAGCAGCAAGCCAAGTTAGCCCTACGAGCTAATGCATGCTAATTATGCTAACACTGGGTTGGAAATGAACAACGACATCAAACAAAAGCCAGAGACTGTATCATATTTATTTGCCATGAGCTGTAAATTCACCACCTCAAGGCAGAGGGCAGAAGATGACATTATGTTGGAGCCTCACCGGGCAAAGCCTCTCTTCCTTCGGGCAGCTGTCTCCATCTCACTCAGACTCACCCTGGGTCTGGGTCTACAGCTGCCTGTACTGGAGAGCAGCATGAAAGCAAGGGGTGCTTGTTATCTTGACATAACAAAGCTTGTTTACTCACAGTAACGGATTAATCAACCCATGATCTCGAGAGAACAGCATTAAAAAACAATTGCAAACACAGCTGTTCTGTGCCTCCACACAAAACCTTACCTAAACTCTATATGTTTTTTGTTGTAATCTGTTGCCCATCAGGAGATCCCAGTAATCACATCTGACCTTAAAACAGCAGACTTGTTTGCTGTTATTTATCCCCTTGTGTACAGGCCTTTGACTTTATTGTGCTGGGGCAGACAGGCTGGTGCATTACGTGGCAGGAAGACAGCTTAAAAAGAACTACAAAGCCACTGCCTTCAGTGGATCGACCATCTGGGGCCACTTAGATGCCCGGCTGGTGGCAGACTGACCCCCAGCACTAACACCCTCATGCACACTCATACACAGTGATGCCCTAATGTACAGACACTGTGCAGCTCTTCTGTCGCAGTCAGCTCTCAGATTTCTGTCAGTGAAAAGAACAAATCTGTCTATTCAGATCCACCCTCGCTGCCTCTCTCTGACTCTCTGGTTTGAATATAGGTCACTGAATTGAATTCTTGGAATATGGCCAGTTCACTCCTACTTCTCCCCCCCTCTCTTTCTCTCCTCTCCACACCCTCTCTACTTCTCTCTCCTTCCCTCTCTCGGCCCCTCCTGCTACGAAGTACAGGATGTCACTTTCTTTTTCTTTCCACCAGCGGTGCTTTTAAATGGCGCTGAATACGTTGGGGGAAATCTGACCGTTAGGTGAAGCCTGGGTGGAGTCAGGCAGCAGGGAAAATAGTTTTGAACATGAAGTGTTTCCATTCAAAGTGTTGGTTGATATTCACATTTCCCTCTTGGCCTCCTGGAAAAGTAAACACTGGCAGCTGTGGGTCACATGTTTGTGATAAGGAATTGAGAAATAACTGATAGATATTGCGTGTGTGTGTGTGTGTGTGTGTGTTTGTTTCAGGTCAGTTATGGGTGTCCGTGAGTGTGGGGAAGGTGATGGTGTTCGATGCCTCCAGCTGGTCCCTCACACACACCTGCCACGTTGGGAATGCAAGATTGGTAAAGAAAATACACACACTACACACACACTAATTCTGTAAACTGAGTTTTTCAGAGCCACACCTCCTCAGGTATTTGAAATTGTATCTATCTGTCCTAATTTTTAGACTTTTTGATTTAGACAAAGTTTTTTGTACAAGCTGCTCGAGTTAAAACAACTTTTTTTTGCATTTTTTTTTTAACTTTTTTGTTTTTTAAATGAAAAAGATTTATAGAAAAACATGCATATATTTGAAAAAGAATTGAAATTACATAAGTATCAATAAATAAATGCATGTGTAAACAAATAAATAGAGGAATAAATACACAAGGAAATAAACAAATAAAAGAATAAATAAAGACAAGCTAAATATAATACAGATTAAATAAATAAATAAATAAATAAATAATAAATAATTTAAATTAATACCTAAATAAAGAAATAAATGCAGAGGTTTAAACCGTTTATCTCATTAACATACAGATAAGAATTAATTTAATAAATGACTGTAATTGTATGAAAATGTAGAATAAATGTAAGATATTTATTTATTTATGTCCTGTCTTGATTATCAACAATCGTTTATTTATGTATGCATTTATCTATTTATTTTTCATATTTATTGCAACTCTTATTTATACATTAATTCTTTAAAAAATATTTTTTTGCATTTATTTCTTTCTGTATTTATTTCAGCATTTTTTTATGCATTTGTTTATTTATTTATTTATTCGTGTATTTATTTGCACTTTTTTTTTTATCGATACTTAAGTCACTTTTTATCCTCCTTGCATATGATATCATAAAATGTAATGATACCTAATACTTCTCTGATTCTTAATGTTGTAGTGAACTTGAAGTTGTGGTACTTATCTTATCAGTGAATGAAAGCACTTGGTGAGAAGTTTGACGTCTTCACATCAGTGGACAGAATCAACAGCACATGCATGCCACTGACATCAGATACAGATAAAACTGTTCTCCTCAGGTTTATATTCCTGTATGCTTCACATGAAACAGTGTCACTGTTATCTTCAGACATGCAAGCACATGTTTTAGAAAGTGTGTTTTGAATAGTTTTCATCCCCCCCATGACAAAAACATTTTTATATTGAAAATATAAACAAGTGAAAGTCAGCTGGAGTGTCTTAAAGCTCTTTGGAGAGTGTTCAAGGTAAATGAAGTTAAGGATGAGTGTTAAGTTTTAAGGCTCTGTGCTAATCACTGACCTCCACTGCAAGCATGCAGGTCACAGTCACATGAAGTATGTTAACCCGTGTGAGTCTGTGCGTGTGTTTTCTCTGGACTCAACCATAATATTTGCACACAGCTCACCACCAGGTCACATATTAAACATCTGGACCATGCTCCCTCCTCTATAGTGGTTACTTGAAGTAGGCCAGTATGTTAGTGTAGTTTATTAGACAATGTCACCACCTAGTGGAGAAGCTTAGTATTGCGCAACAATTTTTTCTCCAACACAAAATTTTGAGCACTTTCTGTATAACCCAAACCCAATATAATGCTTATCATTATGCATACCCTGAACTAGTTTATACCTGCTACACGTACCTTTCAGGAGCAGAGACCTACAGAGAGAAGAACGGTCCTACTGTAGATAAACTTTTCTACCTCTAAGGGCTGCAACTAGTGTCACTGTTGATCCATCTTCTTGGGTTTTTTTGTTTGTTTTTTTGAGTCAGTGAATTGTTTGGTCCATAAAATGTCAGAGAAAGTGAAAAGAACATTCGCAAAGAGGGCTTAACGCACTGCACCTTGAGAAAAGACAAGCAAATTTAAACGTTTCCCAAGTTGCATTACACTGAGTTCTCTCGGCCGCTGCAGGAAAGAGTATGTCACAATTACCCAAAGCCCAGTGTGACGTCTTTAAATGTTTTGGCTTGTCCAATTTGCTGTCCAAAACCTTAAAGTTATCAGTTTGCTGTCACATAAGATAAAGAAAAGCAACAAATCCTCATGATGTAAAGCTACAGCCAGCAAATTTTGGGGCATTTTGTGCTGGAGAAATAACTAACCAAGTGTTTAGTCTCGACTCATTTTTAATCACTTGCCTCATTGTTTTGAAGGAAATTTGTGTCACTGATGTGAATGCAGCTGAAAATACTAGAACAAGTATGTAGTTCATGTGAACCTCTCTGTGGACTTTCTTTTATTCATCCAACATTCGGCCCTGAAAGTTTCCATATTCAGTCTCAAAACCTACAGTTTTCCTATATCTCCACACACCCAGTTGTTATGTTCTTTGAGCTGTGTTACTTCTGATGTGTAACATATTTTTGTCTCTCTGTGTTCAGAACTGCATGCTGGGAGTTGATAAGGACCAGGTGTGGATGGGCTCCGAGGACTCGGTTATCTACATCATCAGCATGGTGGCAATGGTCTGTAACAGACAGCTGACTGAGCACAGGGCGGAGGTCACAGGACTGGCCCTGGACACAGACAAATACGGGTAACACACACAAACACACCTCAGCTGTTGCTTATTTAAATCCCACGAAAATGACCAATACTGATGGTGTTTGAGATGTAAATGGAGTTTTGAGTTCGATTTAACTGAGCTGAAGGGAGGAAAAGATACAGATGTACGTGTAAATCAATTCGGCACCCAAGTAACATGTAAATTGCTCAAATGTTCTTCAGCCAGAAGGTGGCGTACTCATGCAGTGCTGAGGGAAGCATCATGGTGTGGGATGTCTCGACACTACAGGTCAGTTTCAAACCAACACTTTTTTTTAAAAAAATCTCTTGTCAAGTTCTAAATAAAACAGCGTGCTATGTACTGTCAAAAAAGGTCAAAGAATCCTCCGTTATTCGAGTCATTTCCCGTTTTAAGAACAAAAATTTTCACTTCATAACTCTGATTTTTGTGTCACTAATCCCTCAGGTGAAGAGGCATTTTCGTCTCTCCTGCGACCGTCTGCAGTCCGTCTACAGCTGTAACGGGACACTGTGGTGCTGTAAGTGTCACACTCCTCTATCTGGAGCCTTCAAACAGGAAACCTGATAGCTGATGATGTGAAATTGAATCACCTCACCCTCTTTTTATGTCTGTCTTTCTCTCCAGGCTCCAGGGACAATATAATGGAGGTGTGGAGGAACGGTTCACTGAAACATCGTCTGAATCTACCAGAGCAGCAGAGAGGATCCATAGCTACATTCAGCTCTATACTGCTGTTACCTGAGGTAACCCCACACACACAGTTTCTCTCTGTGTATTGGTGTGTTTTGGTATCATATTGAAGTGTGACCCTTTGTCCTCTATGTGTTTATGTGTTGTTAGAAGGAAGAGCTGTGGAGCGTTTGTGCCGACTCAGCAGAAGTGTGTATTTGGCACATTAAGGACATTGCCAAACCGTATCACCGCGTGACTCTACAGGACTGCGCAGGATGTTACTGCATGATCAAAGTTAAAAACCAGGTTAATATACAGTACTATAAAAAATATATACATATAAAACACCTACAAATGCCCTATAATCCTGAAGGTGTCATAAAATGAAACCACATTATCCATCCCCTTATTTGTGTTTCTCCAGGTGTGGGTTGGTGGTGTTGGCCGCAGCTCTACCAAAGGAAAGATTTACATCCTGGAGACAGAACGCCACCAAGTCCTGAAGGAGCTTCATGGCCACAACGACAAGGTGACGGCGCTCTGCTCTGCAGAGGATCGGTACGTCCTTAGTGGAGCTGGCAAACATGATGGGAAGATCGCCATCTGGAAGGTGGAGTAGAGAGGTTGACTGACGATTTAAAGTTGGAGCCTGACTTCTTAAAGGTGATTCTTGAGAAGGGTTGTTGATATTTGAACTCAACACCCAAACAAGTACACCCCTTACATCAAGTGCCAGATTTACCGCCCCTCTCGCTCCTGCTGCACACACAGAACAAACAGCCAGGGAACCATGTGGAGATATTGGCTGATTTTGATGAAAAGTGTGTTGGATTAGATTCACTGATTGCACCTTTAAAACTCAAAAAATCTTCAGAAAAGGGAGTAAAGATCTGATCGAAATCCCAGATTTCCATTTGCATCTCAGAGACATGAAGGACTCACATGGCGTCATGTGAATCAACAGGTTTACGTAAAGTGTCACCCGCAGAGCAGCCTCGCCCACCTGCTAAGAAGTGTTGATTTTTTTGGAAATACTAACAGTACTAAACCGGTATTTTTTTGGAGAACATGAAGGACAAATGAAGACTGAAAAAAGAAAAGTGGGATGAAAAGTTCCACTAGATCCAAAGTGCTTCACTTTACTGAAGTTTACACATTTTGTATGCTTTATTTAATACGGTACTCTGCTTTACATTGAGTTTGATGACACTAGTATTATATGGGAACATTGTGTAACTGAGCCTCACCTCCAACTGTGTTTCTGCAGTTGAAAGGACTACACTGAAAACTGTGGGAAAGCCTTGAAGGAGGTTTATTTTAATTGAGGTTTTTCTTTAATGGACAATGCACGGTTGAGAGTGACAGGAAATATGATGCAAGATGATACAAAGTTGGGAGCTGCACTTGACATAGAGCGATACACGTGTCTCAGAGGAACAAGTTTAGTCCTGCAACAACTGGAATCTGATAAAAACACAAACTAAGCACCAACCCCACAGTGTTCGCTCTTGTTGTATTAATATGTTTTTTAATCAAATACTTACCTCATTCTTCTCTATTTATTTCCCTACGAGATTAGTTTTACCTGTGTTACGGGGTTGTTGGTTTAAGCACGTAGAGGCAAAATGTTTTTATGTACAGACTGACAGAGGAGATGAAGGCCAAGTCAAAAGTCACAGCTACAAAATGCCTTGCGCATGTTAAAAATGTAGTTATTTGTAACATAATTGCCACGGTGTCATGTTAAAATGTATTTATAATCTGTAGACATTTGCTTACTGTGTATTTTATATGGATTTCTACTAGTTTATCATTAGTTACTTGTATTATCTAAGTAAAACACAACAGACTGAAGATTTTTTATTTTCGTTTTTTCTATATTTTATTCTATCTGCCTAAAACTTTCTAAACATGGAGTACATAAGGATGTATACCTCTGTTTTTTTAAACAATTACAAGTGGGATAATTTTCAACTTAAGGTTCAACTTCTCTTTTAATGATGTATTTATACACTGTGTGAATATGAAATGTATTCATTTTGTAAACTAAACTTGTAACAATTCCTGCAAGTCAACCATTGATGTATGAATACTGTCTTTAGTGACTTTTGTAAGACTTTATGTAAAAACTGTTTAATATCTTCAAGACCGTTACAAGATTCTTTAATATTTAACCAACAGTGAACAATGTAAATACATACTTTACAAAGAAAGTCTTCAGTTTGTCTTTATTATTTTCAACAGGAGTAAGTTTCAGTTTATTCCCTGTGTGCCTGTTGTTCCCAGCCTGGGGGTTGAGAGTAACTTTTCAGACTTTCTCTGACTTTTTCTTGGGAAAATTGGGAAATTTGACCTTGCTACCAGAAACAGCAACTGATGAGGAAGGGGAGTAGATGCTGCTTCACTTTAAAGTCACAGTACGTACCTTTTTTAGTACACTGTCACTACATCCTGACAGTAGTATATGAGGCAGATAATCTGTCCCTCCAGGATCTCATGGAAAAAAAAACCTTTAATTTGCAGCAAATTTTGTCAAAAAGTGTGATGAAAATTACTGCCCTTTTTTTTTTTTTTTTTTTTTGTTTTTTTTTTTAGGGAAATTGCGGCAAATGACAAAAAATGCGGCTAATGATGAGGAAAAAAAGGTGATTTTTTTAAAATTACTACCTTCAAAAAAATTATTCATGTAATCACGTGCTAATCATTCTGAATATTACAAAAATATCTGCAAATGTTTTTTATAGGTCTCTTTAGTTTTATTGAATTAGTTTCAAAACATGGACTCCAATAATGGTGCAAAAAATCCTGAGTGAATATTGTAGCTCTCAAACCAGACAGTGTGACTGTAAAAAAACATGCAAGCTTCATCTTCTATAAACATAACAATTTAATACATTTAACACATATTGTATGCATTTAAACAGTGCAAATTCTTATGTCAATACAGTGCATTTCTCTATACTGCAATGCCATTAGCGCAATTTGACGACGCGTCTGATGATGTTTCAAATGACGTCGCATGCGTGGCGACTTCTGGTTGGTCAGAAAATGCGGAAAAATCACGAGACTTTTGAAAAATTATAAGCCCCCGCAAATATTGCAGACTTTCGTTGAATTTGCGCTGTGAATTATTGCGATCGTAAGATCATGATTTTTCTGGAGGAACTGGATAATCTGTGCATGAATTGCAGTCAGACTACGCAGCGTTTATGAAGTATAAATCAAGATTCTGTCACTGCATTGCCCATTTCTCACCTCAGATGTTTTTAGTGTACTGTTTAGCTGTGAAATGAGAGAGTTGGTCTGGCTGGTGGGCAGTGCCTCATTTCAGCCCGACTGTTTTCAACATGGCAGTTGTGTCTGTCACAAACTATTTTCTCGTTTTATAGCTGAACTGTACACAAAAACATGTTTCTGAAATAAGCAATACTTGATTCTTATTTGATCAGTGCTGCCTGGTTTGACAGTTTGACCGCAGTTCATGAGCAGTGATTGACAGCTGCTCTCTCTGAAAAGCCTCCCGTCATGGACTAGATTGGCTAAAGCCTGAAAACAAAGCTAAGTGGAGTTGCAGACCACTGGTTTTCCTTCAGACCACCTGATATGCTCGAAAGTTATGGGATTATTACCCAGTGGTGCCAAATTTAAACTGCCTATCTGACCTTAAGGGATCACAAGCCAAAAAAGCTTGAGAGCTACCACTATATACAGCATTTAACAATTTAACAAAGTCATTTTAAAGTTTTATGGCATATATGTATTACTGTGCCCATCAGAACTACATGCTGTACGCACATGATTTTCTCCAGTTGATTGATACAGCCCCTCGTTCTGCACTTCCAAGAGTTGACCAGAAGAGCGTGCTGTTTGATACCAAGAGAAGTTAAAGTTGATGTTCTCACATGAGTGGAAGTTCACTTTCACAGATCACAACCCACAATATCAATATAAACAGGCTGTTTTTAATTGTTTTTAAGCAGGCATCATAAATGATGAACTGCTTTCTCTACAACAGTGGTTCCTAACCAGTGGGTCACGATCCAAAAGTGGGTCCCAGGTACATTCGGCAAGTGACTCGCTAACGTGTCAAGTTGGTAAAAAACACACTTCATTTTTAAGTACAGTGAATTTCCCACACAGAGTTTCCATTTTGAAGTGCCGTTTCCTGGTAGAGTGAGTAACTAATAGACAACTGCTTGACAGAGACAGCAAACCAGTTTGACGACATGGCTAAACACAAATGATGCTGAATGTATCAAACTGTGTGGACCTTGAAGTAATGACTAAGGATAAAACTGGACCAGTGACAAATGCCCATCATAATTCCCAAGAGGCCAAGGTAGCACCTTCACAGTCCTTGTTTTATCCGACCATCAGTCCAAAACCAAAAGATCTTCAGTTTTTATTCATATATGACAAAGAAAAGCAGACAATCCAAAAAGGACTGAAACAGTCAAGTTGCCAATTCATTTTCTGTGAGTTGACTGATTTGATAAATCATTTCAGACTCCTTCTTCGTCTGCTCTGGCTGCAGAGTGGCAGAGTGATATGAAGGATATAGCATAAAGCTAAAACAGACAGAGTCCACCCTGCTCAGATGCAGTTTTTCCCAGGATGATTCCTCCTCTTCTTCACCTTGTTTTATTTGCGTGTGAGAATCTGAAATAAAGATTTCTGAAACACCAGAGATATGTTTCAATGTTTTAATGCTTTGCGCCAGTTAGTCTGCAGAGTGTAGACACAAAGGTATCCTTGCTGGGACTCCTTTACAGACAGGTGAGGGAGGAAACTGATAAAGAAGGTACATGCAGCTGCAAAGACATCAGATCGACTCAGCCTTGAACAAATGTAGAACCAAAATGTAAGAACAAAATGAAACAAACATAACAAATCCTGTATGGTATTTGATTGTGTAAGCATTTTTAAATATCATTGGAGCAAAGCTAACACAAGTGATGGGTTACGCAGTTATAGAGTCATTTTCCATCACAGATTCATTGTGTCTAAATATGAGGGGTATGTGGATAGCAGTGGTTTGAGAGCTCGAGGTAGGGTGCCGGGATAAAAACCCATATTTTTGCGTTCCAGTGTTGACAGGTATGCCTAAGGTGTGTCTGAGCAAAAAACTGAATCCCTGCAGGGCTGCTGCTTGACCTCTGACCTCCCTGTGCATGTTTGTTTACGTGAAGGCTGAGCTCAACCTCCCTTTTTAGTCCTTCAAACACTGCATGTGTGGATGTGCAGCTCTGTGCAATTTTATTCCTGTAAATCTGTTTGTTTATGTGTATGTGAGCGCTGCACATTTTTGTGTTACATAAAGCCATAAGCAGCAGTTAATCTCTCAGCGTGCAGGGCCACTCACGCTTCAGCTGCAGTGAGAGATAAGTTGTTTTCTGTGTCTCCTGCAGCTCGTAATCACTTTTCTTTTTAATTCCTTTTACTTACAGGAAGCAGGAGTTATTTTTAAGAGGGGGGAAAAACACAATTGCAGTTTGTGCTGCAGCTGTAATTGCTGAAACAGAAATGATAAGAGATAAAAGTTCCTTAAACTTCATTAGTGCTGTAGCAGCTAGTGCAGCATTGTTTGTTTAAGGTGAGATACCCCAGGTGAAAACATCCAAAATACACATTTAGGTGTTTGTTTTAGTTCAGATTTTTGTTCTGGAAATGTATGCAACAAGTGCATATTTACTTAGATAATGCCTAGTTTGCATATTGCATAAAAAAATTATTGTTTTACTGTAAGCAATCAGCTGGGGAAGTTACATGGTGATAAATCTAAATTTTTACCCTATTCACCTGGGATGTCTCACCTTTAGTTTGACAAAATGACATTGTATTGTTATTATTCTATATTTTTCTAACTTTCAATAAATACCATTAAAACATTAAAATCATCAACACTGTTTATCTCTCAAAACTTTCCTGTGTCTCAGCCTTTTTAGTCCTGCTGAGGATGAAAATCTTTAAATTATCTATTATATATTATCTACTTTTTTATATACAGTATTATGACAAAATAAGCAGCAATCAAAGGAAGAGAAAACATCTTTAAGTGTTATTTATGAAGACTTTAACAATGGAAAACCATGTGGGTGTGGTTGACACACACATGATTGACAGCGTTCGAAACATAGAAGCAAACGACCCCACGACTGTTATCACGTTACGACTCAGATGTTGTTAAACTCTCCCTGTTCACTTGAAACCAAGAAGAAAAGAAGGATGAAAAATATTACCATTTTTCATGTGAAGTAACCAAAACTGAAAACCGTGTGTTCATGCAGGACCATATTTGTCAGCGTAACAAGCCAACCTTATAAAATAGCTCATGAGTATGTAGGTGGATTTCCAAAACAGGCTTAGTGATTTCCTAAAGCAACTGGGCATTGTAGTTTTTAGCAAATGTTACTCAAACACAAGTAAATACTGCATTTTTGGGGGGACTACTTTCAGTGGTGGATTAATACACATTTGGCAAAGGCCCTTTTATTTATAAAGCACATTACATTACACGTAAACTCAAAGTGCTTTACACTGAAAGACAACATATAGAGGAAAATGCAAGAACGTAAGTCGCATTAACAAATTAAACAATACAGTCTCAAGTTTAAGTTTAAGGTTCAGTTTAAGGGCCGTTTCATAGTCGATGCAAAGGCACGCAGACACGAACGCATTGGGACGCATTGGCCGCCATGATGCGTGCTTGCATCTCAAAATGTGTTGTCCATTTTTTTGATACGTGATGCAGCGATGCATGTAATACCATGTGTTGCCAGTGGGGGGATAATGCAAGCGACGTACTTGAAATTAACCACTTTTTTTATTCACAGAAGAAGCGGGTATGAAATATGGTGGGCAAGGAGGAAAAACTTTGCAAACTCTTATGGGCACACCCCTATTTATATGACAGTTCCAGTGCCCTGCACTCAACAGCAGTACTAGCTAGCTGGAATGCACCGGTGACTCTGCTACCCCCTGTTGCGCGAGTGATGTATTGCATTTCAAGTGTCGCCCGTGTCGCTTGCGTTCAATGTGTTGACTATGAAAGGAAGTGTATTGCTCGCGTCGCTTGCTCGCGTTGCATGCGTCGACTATGAAACGGCCTTAAGTTTTAAGTTTGTAGTTTAAGTTTGGTGCTTCAGTAAATTTTTGCAGCAGCAGGATGATGTATGTGGGATTTACACAAAATAAAGCATGTTCACAGCAATAAGCCTATTTTTGTATTTTAATAAGTGTTTATAATCATCATCATTATCAAAAACTTTATTTAGCAAACAAAAAGGAGTTACTGAGTGCTTACAGGTCATTTATTCATGTCACTGCTTCAACGTGAACAGTCAAAGGTTAAATTCTTGACATGTTTGTGCAGGTCATGTCAGACAGGACAAACAGGGTAGAAGAAGAACGCCTCATCCTTCTGGACAAGACAAATGATCTTTCAAATTACGAGATTCCCTGACAGCAGGCAGAGTCTAGATGATGATGAAGATTTGGGATGTTAACATGTTAAACCTGCCTTTGTAAGTGAAACTGCTGTTCTCATGTCACAGGCACCCAGTGTCAGTTGACTGTGACTAAATGTGCAGAAGAAATTATTTTCATCACATCAGGAAACAGTCCTTTCTCACATCACCTATTTCTTCTGTCTCTTCACATTTCTGTCTGTGTTTTGGTATCAGTTCCTCCTCAAATTAGGTTTCAGAAGTCAAAGCGTGTCATCAGTTTTGCCACATTTGCCTGCTCTTTATTGCTGTTCTTCTTGATAATTGGAATGTCACATGGCGTGAGCAAATTATAGCTGTCATACATTCCCCAAGAAACCCAACCTTACTGAGCTGTAGGGGAGCTCAGAGAGATCAAGGGGACATCAATTCCAGAGCTGCATAACATCTGTCAGAGCTTTAAGTATGGGTGTACTTCAGCTGTAAGGTTGGTTTATTGCACAAACCAAAACTGCACTTAAGTCTCAACTAAACATCACTACTCAAACACACAATCAGAGGCAGTTTTGCCACATTTGCCTGCTCTTTTTTGCTGCTTTTTTTTCAATTGGAATGTCACATGGCATGAGCAAATTATAGCTGTCATACATTCCCCAAGAGGCCCAACCCCACTGAGCTGCAGGGGGTCTCACAGAGATCAGGTCAGATGTGTTTTTACCCTCATCATATATACATCATAGAGCGGTGCACGAATGAGTCCTAAAACCTGGATATAAGTTAGCATTTTAGTACTCCCAGTTCTCTCGTCCTGAAGGTCTGTGGTTAACACACGCTTAAGAGACTTTGACGTTTTGTTCCACCACATAAAATATGTCAGTAGATACCCCACATCCTTGTTGAGGTGGGGACGTTAAGTCATGCATCTGTTGTTTGTTTATAGTGCACTCAAGTTTCAGCAGAGCCAAACAGGTTCACCGATTATCTGTTCACAGACTAATGGAAAGCTTCAGTATGTTGCTTTTTACCGCATACAACGACGGACTGCAACAAGTGACTTTCAAGGTAACAACATAAAAAGTGACACCACAGCTTGTCTTTTGTACATTGTGTTCTCGTACTGATGTTTGGTCTTCAACAGTCGAATAAATCTGTCACACTCACAGAATTAAATGAATAGTATTTGCACAAACAGAATACAAATCCAGTTTAGGTGTTAAAAAATAGGCCCTTATGACCTTAATTGCTGACTTGTGTTATAGAGCATAATGAACCACTGAACTGTTTTGCTTTGTGATCCTTGATCAGCTATTTCTGCTGTGGAGTCTTTCCTGAGGGAGTCATGATTGATTGTAGAGCTGAAACAATCAATAGATTAACTGATTAGTGAACTGAAGGGATGAAATAAATATAACCAAAAAGACAGAAAGACTATGGATATATACAGTATGTGACTTTATTTACTGACTTGAAAATGATATGCACATTTTACTAGTTGGAAACGTGTAGTACAGTAATATTCACCATAAATGGTCATTATTCTGCAAAATCAATTCCTCATTCAATACCTTTTTTTTTTGGTCTGTTTGGGACCTGCACCATCTTTAACAGTACTTTTTATTCAACACTAACATTCCCAAATCCAAGTAAGTGTTAAGGGTGGGGTTAACACTTCAATAGCCAGAGCCTTCAGCTATCAGGCTCCTCTCCTGTGGAATCATCTTCCTGTTACGGTCCGGGAGGCAGACACTCTCTCCTTCTCTCTCTCTCTCGTATCCTATTACTGCATCTTGCTAACTCGGCCATTCTGGATGTCACTAACTCGGCCATTCTGGATGTCACTAACTCGGCTTCTTCTCCGGAGCCTTTGTGCTCCACTGTCTCTCAGGTTAACTCATATCACAGCGGTGCCTGGACAGCGTGACGTGTGTGGTTGTGCTGCTGCCGTGGTCCTGCCAGATGCCTCCTGCTGCTGCTGCCGTCATTACTCATTAGTCATACTTCTACTGTTATTATACACATATGATTATTATCACACATGTATACTACCAGATACTAATATATACTTTCAACATATTGTACCACAGTAGCCAGAACTATAACCATAATATTATTACTTTCATTAATGTTGTTGTAAGCTACTGTCATTACCTGCATCTCTCTCTCTCTCTCTCTCTCTCTCTCTCTCTCTCTCTCTCTCTCTGTCTCTCTCTCTGTCTCATTGTGTCATACGGATTACTGTTAATTTATTATGCTGAAATTAAATTAAATTAAATTAAAATCAAATTAAATATGTAAGATTCCACTCTGAAATATAGTGTAGTAGTATTATACAATTAATATACTCAAATAAAGAACAAACACTTCAACATTGTAGTTGGATAAACGTACTTATTGACTTTATGTGACTAAATATTTTTACGGCATTCACCTTTAAAATTTCAGCCTCTCAGCTTCTTTGTATACCACCGCCGCGGCTCCGCCCCTTTATGCAAATCAACCGTGACGTCGACGGAAGTCAGCGCTACGTCTCTTCTTCCGAGAGATATTCCTTTAAAGGCGTATTTAAAGCCCTGGCTTCAGTTGCAGGAGTAGCGGACAACCTATGCAACAAAAGCCGCTGCAGAGACGAGCGACCGTCCGACAGCTGAGCGGACAGAAACACGGAGCCAGGGGCTGACACCACCCGGCGAGGTGAGCTCCGTGTCCGGTGAAAACACCGGCGACGAGAGGGGACGGATATTAAACATTTTGTAGCCGAGGTTGCTCGGCTCCGGGAGGCGGAATACACAGCATCTCAGGTTGCTGCTGCAGAGAGAGCTGGAGGAGGTGGAGGAGGGGGGGGGGGGCGCATTTACAGTAGTTTGTGCAGGCCTGTGTTAAAAACAAAAAGAGAGGAGCGGGTGGAGGTGCAGACAGCCCGACACAGGTCAGCTTGCATAATTAGGCTGCTCTGATTATAAAGTGCTGATATGAATGGTTGCTGAATGGTGTTTAAATGTAAAGAAGGTGTAAAAACAAAACAGTGTCAGGGCTGCAGTTTGGACAGCAGCTTCATTTCCTTCATCACTGCATTTGTTATGGTTAACCAGGAAGGAGCAGCTTCACACACCTGTGACTTGTGAAAACAAAAATATAAGTGGTATGTTTGGTGTCTGGGCCAATTAACTCAGTATTAATATGAGGTGTGTCCTCCACTTGCAATCAACTATTCATCTGTTGTTTTCATTATAAAGGGCTGATGATGGGTTTGAATGCCAGGAGATGTGGGTGTTGGTGCCACCACCCTGTAGTTCAGACTTCAATGTAAATGTAAGGTTTAGATATATCTGTTGTGGAAGGCTGCAGCCCCATGACAGAGTGCCATTAAAGTATTTTCTCAAGCAAAAGTACCAAAAAAACCTCTGCTTTTAGCCTCTTACATGTGAATATTTGCTAATTTTCTTTGTGTTTTCCATCTCTGACTTATATATCTTTTGGTTTTAGACTGTTGGTTAAACAAAACAAGCAATTTCAAGACATCACTGTGATAGAATGCAAGCGATTAATTGATTTATCCAGAAATAAACTGCATTGTAAAATGATAATGTCAGTGTTAAATCGACAACAGAGCTCCTCCAGCCTTTTGCTGTCAGAAGACATTTAAAAATCATGTTTTATTTTGCTGATATGACCTTTAATGTCCATCCATTTGATGCTACTTATTCACTGAAGGATTCTACACACATTCCTGTGATGATTCAGCGTTCAGTTTTGGTTTAAATATATCTGTGTTGGATGACTGCAGCTCGATCAAATCACTGGTGCAAAGGGAGTGTTGTGAGAGAGACTTAGCGTTACATGTGAATATTTGCTTATTTTCTTTGCGATTTCTATCTCTGACTTAAATATCTTTTGGTTTTAGACTGTTAGTCAAAGAAAACAAGCAATTTCAGGACATGACTGTGCTGAGAATGCGAGCGTTTAATTGATTTATCCATAAAATGACTGCACACTCATTCAACAATGTCAGTGTTAAATCAACAACAGAGCCTCTGCTTCTCTCTGACGTCAGAAAACATGTAAAAGTTGTGTTTTATTGAGCTTGGAGGACCTTTTAATGTACATCCATTTGATGCTGCTAATCTACTGAAGGATTGGACACACATTCCTGTGATTGGGCATACAGTTTTGGTTTAAATATATCTGTGTTGGACGACTGCAGCTCCATCAAATCACTGGTGCAAAGGGAGTGTTGTGAGAGAGACTTAGCGTTAAGTGTTTTGCAGGTTCGTGTGTTTTCTTGTTTATTGGCAGCTAGTGATCTATTAGCATGCTCTTGTGCATGAAAGAGTGAGACCAGACAAGCTTATTTGCTGTGTTGTTGGGTGCTGTATTGATCCAATGTAGAGTATAACAGAGGCTGCCCCCCCCCCCCCCCCCCCCCCTCCCCCAAGCATTGAAACCAAACTTAAGCCCTTGCAGTGTTACTTGACTTGTGTGTCTGTGTGCACTGTGGTGATTTGCTGAGACTTAACTCTTTGCTTTTGTGTGCGTTCAGGTACGACTGCAGGGCTCAACATTGCAGCCTGGACCAAAACGTCTATGTCTCAGCGACATTTATGAAGCTTTCAAGGCCTTTTGGTGAGTCTCACATGCACAAACACAAATCCGAAAGCACCCAGTTCTTTTATTTGCCCTTAACTCTTTGTGTCACTCCTCCTTGTGTCTGTTATTCTACTGTGTGTTGGAGTGAATCTGCACAAAACAAAACAGAGATCCCAAAGAGTGATGTAAATGGCCACCAGATGTGTAATGTTTCTGCTTAAAGCCACAACCAGCACGAGCAAAACAAAGAGAATAAGATGTGCAGCATGTGGCAATCTGATCAGGGACTTGGTTTGCACACACACACACACACACACACACACAAGCACAGTCGTATTGTTCAAACGTCTTCCTTAAAAATCTGTCTCTTTGTGTCACCCTCTTGTTTTCGACATGCTGCAATGCTGCCTGCATTTCAGGTTTTGCGTGCCTCAGACACGGCGGTTCAGCTGATGCGAAAGCAATCGACTTCCTCTTGATGGATTGCTTGCTGACTGGTGCTGAGTCAGCATCGGGTTATTACCTACGAAATACAGCCGTGTCACGAGCAGACAGTCACATGAGACTCGTGAACTTAAACATAGATTTGCAGAGATGTTGTGCAAACAGAGCGTACACTGCCATATGCATACATTCCTAGAGAATGGCTTTTGATCGTCTGCCCATATGCAAATATTTTGATACTTTGCATGCAGAACTGGATTGTATTTCCATAAACAACATGTAAATAATATTGTAGTTTGCTTCAAGGATCTTAACTAGATGTCCTCTACATGTATTGCACACAGAGAAACCTACCATTTTGACAACTTAGCGTGGGATTTTTGCTTTGAATATGGTTGTTATAAGAGGTTGAATTGTGGCTCAAACACACAAAACACGCCTCATATTCCAAATTGACTTTGGCATTTTGTCAGACTGCTGCTAGTGTACTCACTGTAGCTCCAGATCTGTTTGTTTAATGGTTTCCACACCACACGATGAAGCCTGAGAGTCGCAACGGGAGGCGACGCAACCTGCAGGTTCCTTATAACAAAAAGGCATCCTGCTGTGAGGAGATTTAAGACATCTATCATGCAACCTCCACATCCCTGGTTAGAGTCCTTACTCTCTCTCTATTGGCAGAACTGTCCAGTAAAGACTACAATGCTTAACAAAAATCTCCAAAATAAACCACTATGGGAAGAAATGTGCTCTTGCATGTATTTGATTGGCTAATGCTACTGCTTGCCGGATGATGTCACATTGTGCTGCAGCAAAAGTTGAGCCAGGCTAATTTTTTTTGGCCAGAAGTTTAAGTGTCACAAAATGGAGTTTCTCTTTTTGTTTCTTCACCCATTATTTTACCAAATTTGATTCTATGCACGATTTTTGGTTACTGTTTGAAAAAAAAAAACGCCCCCAGATTCACTCTCATTTGGCGTTTTTCCTCACTATATCAGCATTTTTTTTAGCGTTGTGTCTCTTCGATGAAGGAAATGACCACTTTAGAATGAAAATACAGACAGTATTTACTGACCCTCATGCCGACAAGAAGTCTAGTGTAGTTTTTTAATCCACAAAACTCAGTCGGGGTATCGGAGGATAACAGCTAGCCGGATTTTTCCATACACTTGAAGTACATGGAACCCATGTCCAAAATCATTTTGAAAATGTAACAGAACTCCGCTAATGCATTTCAAAAACATCAGAACGGCTCGTCTGTCGTAATCCAAGTGCCCTGAAACCGCGGCATGCAAAATTGACTTGAAAAGACGTAATTTACTCCACTTTTATAGCGTCATTTCTCACCGTGGTCAGTTAGTCTGCAACTCGCGCAAGTTGCTGTGTAAACACAGCACGCCTGCAGACGTGCACCTCCACAGAAATGTAACTACACGTCACAGACCTCCTGTTTATTTTTGTAAATTGAAAATCATTTTCTTTTATTTCATAGTCAAGAAACAATAACTTATAAAGACAATAAAACCCCCACAAAATAGCATTTTAAGTCTTGGGTGTGATTTATCCTGGATTCATTTGAGGAGTGGAAACTCTGTAAAATATTAGAGGCTAACGCTAGTTACGTTGTGTTGTATTTGTGTAGAAAACGTGTCTCGGAAAAGACAGCTGTTTTGTTCGTGAGCTGAATTTTGTACTTGTGTTTAATATTGTTGCTATTAAGCTATGTTTTATGTCTGTTTTTAGACATGTTAGTCGAACCAATCAAACTCCACAGAAACTAAGCACAGTGGCAAAAAAAGCTCCACCGCCACCTGGAGGTGTGACTGCTGTGCGACACACAGTACTGCATGAGTGCATGCTCACAATGACGTAGGCCAATTGGGTATGTTACAGCGTGGGACAACTATGAATCACTACCTTTTTTGCGTTGTGGCGGTACACACCCATAAATGTCCCCAACACAGAAAATAAGAATGAATTAAGAAAATACAGGCAAATGCAGAATCTCTGCAGAAAAATACACTGCCACTGACCCGTTTCTAGTGGGTCCATTTTTTTTTTTTTTTTTTTTTTTTTCCGGGAAAATCCCTTTTGGTATACCTTTAAGGAATACTGCCTGCCTAACACTGTTTCTTTTACACTCTCTCACTATCTTTGCCTTTCTCTGTCTATCACACACACAGCTAATCTGGCTTTGTATCTTGAGCCCTGATCCTGTGTGTAGATAACCCACTTCCTACTGGTGTGAAGTTTTTGTACACAAATCCAGAGAGAGAGAAAGAAAATGAGTGATTATGTTTTCTCACCTCTGATCAGAGAACAAGACTGTGTGTTTATATGTGTGTGTGTGTGTGTGTGTTGTCTTACTTACTTACTTACATCAGTGCTATTGACAGCCCCCCTTATCGCTACAAGATCTCTCTCTCTCGCTCTCTCACTCACATACACACACACATAGTTGTTGCAGCTATAAATGCCGTTGTGTTGTTTGGAGTCATACCGTTTAACACCTGGGAGTAAAAGACGACAGGTTGCTGCTTGTTTACTTTTTTCCTGAATCTTTTTGATCCAGCTGGCAAATTTCAGATGCGAAGAGTGTAAAGATCTGGCATGTTTACTTTCTAGGTGGGTAAAAAAAACACCACACAACATTGATATCTAGAAAAACAGAAAGTAGATGTTACACTTTGATTCATCTGTGGTCCAAGAGGTGTGTGTGTGTGTGTGTGTGTGTGGGTGGTTGGGAATCTTCAGGCAGTTGTTTGTTTACTTTGAGGCGACCAGCAACACTTCATGCATGGCTGGTTGGTTTTCTCTTTGTGGAGGGCCGTTATCAAAGTCAGTATCAGATGGCTGTACTGTATTTAGCCCTGGCTTTGAGTTAGAGGACACACACACACACACACACACACACACACACACACAGATGCTGTCTGTAGCCAGAGAGATTGTCAATAACACAAACGTCTTCTAAGAATAGAGACTTTCCACTTTGTTTGCTTGCCCCCCCCTGTCAGCTCTCCTCCACTCTGTCTTGTCCTCCACACCCCCCCCACCCCCCCACCCCCGTTTCTTTCGTCTCCCATCTTCCTCATTTGTATCTTGTTTCCATTTTTGGCTTGAGCTCCATGTCGCACCCAGAAGCCTCGTCAACTCTGTAGTCAGTTCCAGATGGTTTGAGCTAATCACTTGTACCACTTACTCCAACCAAATTAGCACGTATATGCAAGTTATTTAAATGTGTTTTTAAAAATAGGTAATAGACTTCTTTCCCATTGTGAGTAGATGAGTATGCCTTCCTGTTTTTTTCTGGTGTTTCACGATGGATGTCAGAAACATGCTGGAAAACAGTAGAAAGGAGTAGTAAATGGTAGAAAGCAGCATGGAGGCCAGTTAAAAAGTGTGGTGGTTACCTCTTTTTTTATATGTGCTACTTAATAAATCTCTCTTTCAAATTGGTGATGACTAATTTGGAAGGGTGTTCAGGAGCTGCTTGGATGAAAAAGGGGTGTAAAGTAACATGCCACCTGGGAGTTATGTTTCCATCACTGCTAATCAGAGCTGGAGCTGATACCCTTGACTGTTGCAGAGTCATTTGTCCCAGGAGTGAATGCTGATAGTAACCTTTCCCACTAAAGACAAAAGCCAGATGTTAGTGGGTGTTCATTTTTATCCAGTGGGAAAGGGGCTAAATAGGCACAAGAAAGCTCTGAATATTTACAAAAATGCATCAAACTTAAAAAGAAAACAGGCTGGTATTCATGTTATCACTTGTGAATTTCAGAAACCGTTTATTCTTGACCTTGGAAACAGCATTGATGAAAATGTCTCCCACAACGTCCATTTAGTAGCTCTTCAGTGCCTGCCAGTGTTGCCTTTTACCGCTGATTACAATTGTCAAGGTCAAGAATGAAGAAGTCCTGAGAAAGTGCCCAGAAAAATGGGGATTTGACTCCATAACAGCTGGGCAGACTCTATCTGCCGAAGATCAAGTGATATGATCCTATGAAGGCTCCAGAACAGCTGCTAAATGGACCCTGTGGTCAGATTAGTCTGGTGACAGTTAAAAGGCTTTTTAGTTGATTTCAAAGTACTTTTGTCAATAACCAAAACATTAAAACGATCCGTTAAGGTGAAAAAGAAAGTGTTTGATAAAGTGGCTTTCAACATGATTTTTCCATTACCATGATCATCTTAATAATACCTCTCATGTTAAATTTGAAAAAACAACACCAACATCCTTGTTTACTCTGGTATCTTTCATTTCTCCCGGACATATAGTGGCCTATTTACCGATAAAGGTCATCTGTGGTCCCAGAGTACTTTATGTGGAAAACAACTGGCCTTTGTCAGAGATTTTTACACTCCTGTACCTCTAATTACTGCTGTCAGAGCAGAACAATGAGCTGGTATTTGACCCTGGGTTTTTCATTTGGAGGTGTGAAATCCTCTTTATAGATCTGTTCAATTATGCGTTAAGAAACAATTCTCTTCGCCTTCGCAGAAATAGGAATGCAGCCAGACTGGAAAAGCAGGACAAGCAAGAACCTTTCGGAAAACAATGAAAGTACTAGAAGGGTATTGGGACAGCT